AAATGATCAAAACATATACAAATGCTATTTATTTCAATATATTTAAGTATAAATATCTCATTATATCTTAATTAAGCTTTATGTTTTTTGTTAAGTTTTATAAAAATGATCAAAACATTAAACCTTTGCATTTTTGTTTGTTTAAATTTATTTTGTGTTTTGCTTATATTTTACTTATGTTTTGCATAGAAAAAAAAATGATTCCAATTATTTTTCAATAAGAAAAAACTGTAAAAATTTAAGTAGAAAAATACATGATCTATATGCTTAGTCACTAAACAAAAATAAACCATGATTTGCTTATATGATTAATCATGATCACCTAATGTTTTGCTTACATTATATATATGTCATGATTAATCATGATCAAATAATGTTTTGCTTACATTATATATATGTCATGATAAAATTTATCAATCATTTTCTAGTCTATCTTTATAGTATAATTATAATATGATTACTTCTCATTTTTTTTTTGTCATTTATTTTCGTCTCATGAGTTTATATATATTTTGATTTTTGTTCATCGTATGTTGGTCTTTTTAATAGGTTGAAAAAGAAAAGAGTTAAGATAATGTTTTAAGTTAAATGTGTGATTAAACAAAATGAAGTTAACTGAATGTAAGATTTTATTTTTATTGAAGTACAAATATTTTAATAAAAAATAGACCGTTCATATTTCATGAAATATATAGATCTTAGAAATAATATAGAGATTATTTTTTTCTTCTAACATTTTAGAAATATGATTACGTCAGCTGATTTTTACTGTTTTAACTACAAAATCATAAACACATTTTTAGTGTTTTAATATGTGTGATATATATGTATATCTAATCTTTTCTAGTCTTAAATTTATGAATTTTTATTTTCATTCATTTACTTAATGTTTCACGTTTTTGTTGAATTTTTTTTATTAGTTATAAGATAATAAATAATATGATTTAGTGTATATTAAATAAGTTTTTTTTAAACTTAAATATTTTCTAAAATAGTTTTGCATATGTGGACACTCTAGACGGGGCAAAACTCCCTAATTATATATATGATTGTTAATAATATAATCAACATGAAAGATGACGAAAACTAAAACTTAACAAGAAAACAAGAGAGCAAACAAATAAAGCATTACAATACAAGGCAGAGTCCACTTTTCTCTACCCTTAGATTGTTCATCCAAAAGATGAACTCTTGTGTTCATAGATAGTGTCTTCAAGCCCAACAGGCTTTGTCTTTTTTCAGTCGACCTCCACAATCTGAGGCTTCCTTTCTGCAGCTTTCTTGCGTATGAAGATACCCCATCTCAAAGCAGCTTTAAGCTTAAGCCATCCCACCACAGCTTTTCCCGAGCCTCTGTTACGTTCTCTCCTATACGTGTTATCGACCTGAGCTTGGTACGGGATGTTATAACCGTAACAAGACTCATCGGTATGGCCAAACCCACCTTGTGTTCCCATAGTGTTCACACCGATCCCAAACGTCTTCAAGAGTCTCTGCATATCGTCAGTCTCAAGCATCTCAGAGCTCCTTAGTCTGATTTCTTCACTGAAAATGTCTTCAAGACCTTGTCCTGCAGCTCTTGGTTTACACCAGTCTTCTCCGTTGTATGAGCCTGAAACATTGGAACTTTCCATCGACCTGTTGTAGTCATGTAAGTTGCAAGGTAATGAGGGTAATAATTGGCTGCAATGTTGCTCAAACTGAGGATATTCGATCGGTTGAGGGAGTAATGAATAGGTAAGAACATTCTGATGACACTGCACAGTTTGCCTATTAGTCTGGTTATATAGCTGCTGATGGTTCTGAGCTGTTTGTGCCATGGCTATTTTTGGTTCAGGTAAGCTTTTTACTTTTTTCTCGGCAACTGGTAAGCAATTCAACAGCTTACCGTCGTATTCAACAGCTTTATGCCAGTTCTCGTAAGCCATCTTCACCAAAATGTCTGCAGAAATCTGTGAGCTAACCAATGATCAGCTTAATCATCAAGAAACTGTCTTCTAATATACAGAGAAATATACGTGTCTTTACCTTTTGGTCATGGTTAAGAGACTCCAGAGATAGGAACTGTCCGTTTGCAATTAGGCCTTGGAATTCATAGATATGATTGAAGACAACGCCTGTAGAGTGAGTCTGGTCTGTGTAAAACACATAAAGCTTCCCTCCCAACACGCATGTCTTTGCGTGCTCCACCGTGTTCTCCCACATTCTATTCGACATTCCACTCCCGAGCAACTATAATATCAGAAAAAGAACATTTAACAATGTATATATCTTTGGCTCTGTTGGTGGTTTCTTTCATATAAACAGAACTGAAGATGCTTACGTTTCTTAGCTTCTGTGGATCCTTAACAAGAAGACGGAGGAAGTCTTCGACTGTCACGATGTTAGCTTTCAATAGCTTCTTGTGCAGCACACCGTCTTTTGCTATTCTATCCAGTCTCCAGACTTCATCGTGTAAAGCTGGTGGATAATGTTTCTTGTATACTGCAAAACATTGAAAAAAGAAAGGAAGAATTTCAGATGAGAGAGCCGAGTTAGAAGTAACTAACACTCTCTACTTGTCAATACAATCCAGAAGTTAAAAAAACTCACATTCTCCCCTGTGATCTTTAACAGCAAAAGGTTCTGTTTTGGCTTCACGAATGCGATAGCTATCACCATACCCTGTAGCCGCCTTAACACCAAGCCTAAACTTTCTGCTCCTAATCCAACTCGAGTTGTCGGTAAAAGTAAGCTCTCCTAAAGTTCCCACACCTTCCTTGAGGTTCACCTGTGTGTCACCTGTCAAGATTGGGCGTTTCCCTTCTCGCTCTTTCACTTCAAAGTTCTCAAAGTGCTCTCTCGTCCAATCTTCATCGTCCTCATCATTGAAGTCTCCCTCTAGCACGACAACATTCAGCTTTGAAGCAGACTCTTCTCCTGTTTGGACTACATTTCCTGTGTTTGCATCTATAAGAACCACATGAATGGCTGAGCCTCGCTCTCCCTCAACTTTCCCACCTGTGAATAAGTGAGGAGGCATTCGTGTCCTAAAGTGAAGTTGCAGGATTCTTCCATCGCGGCCTTGGATCCTCTTTGGTTCCGGTGACCTGAAGATTCCATGTTAGTTTTACCAGAAACTCAACCGCTACAAAGATAACACAACAAAGATAACTGAAGAAAATACCTCGACGTTAACTTTGCATTTCCCAACCTTGATAAGGCTCGTTCCACCTCTTCGCTAACCTGTTTGTTTGTCCACACCATACCAAGTTTACAACTTCTTAATCATCTCAAGAATTACTCAAAAAACATTACATGTCTAACTTAATGATAGGGTAAAAACTCACAATTCTACGAAACAACGGCTCCAAAGACGAGCATAACCTCTGCAGACTATCTACCTTGACAGCTTCCACAATGACACTGTAAACAGTTTGTTTAATATGACGGAGGAGAAAATCAACAAGAAGAAAATTACGAGCTTTGGACACTTGACAAAAAAAAGATTGAGAGCTTAACAAAAGAACATCTCTCAGTAAAGAATAAAAATTAAGAATCTAAGTTTACAGAGAACAAGGTTTACATCCTCCTCCATGATCTAACAACAAAGCTTGTTCCACTTAAATAGTTGTAAGGTTTAACACTTGAGCTACTTTGAAGTGGAATAACTACAGAATATCCTTAAGGAAGTTACCTTGCCAAAGCAGGTGCTTTTTGTCTCTTTGATTCTGGCAAGTTGTCCGTATCCTCTTGACTGCATTCGTATCCTCGCTTGTTCATGGAACTTTCCATTTAAGAAAAAAAAGAAATTACAATCACTGTGTCTAGATATATACTAAAATTATTCTAAAGTTTGGAATAAAACAGCAGAAGTCCACAAAAGGAAGCTTCAGAGAAGAACACAAAGAAACATAAGCACAGAATAAGTTGCATATTAGAAGAAATAGCCTCAAGCTATAGAGTTTGGACAAGCCACATGGGTTTGGACGGTTTGCAGAAGTCACTGAACCGAGATCTGTTCTTTAATGGTAGATCTAAAGCGTTCATTGAAAAAAAAACTCTATGGAATCTGTCCATGTGAGCATTAGAATAATGCAAGAGTATTTTAATGGCTGACACTAAAATAAACAAATGAGATAAATTAGGAAAAAGCAGCTGTTTTTGTGCGTGAATGAATATTGAAAGTTGATACCGCGTGATACCTGGAGAGATCGTATCCTGCATTATGTCAACCCAAGTGTTGTTTTGACTTCTCCAGTTTTGTCTCTTCTCTGCTCTTGTCCCTCTTCACAAGCTCTCATGTTTCTAAGCATCTGAAAAGTCTTTGTTAGTCTTCACAAATAACAAAACAGATATGCATCGAACCTTAGCTGCAATAACATATCCAGTTAAGAATCAATTCAGACTTGCTATCTCAATCAGGTGCAAATCTCAACAAACCCATATTTAGAAAGGTCATAGTTACACATTTTTGTTTTGGCTGATGCGAATTTGATGGTTTAGTTTGCCAGTGAACATGAACTATAAAATACAGAAGTCAGTGACTTCTTGGCCAGTGGACAAATATATCTGAAGAAAAGTCAATACAAGGCCATTCCTTTCTTTAGCTATATTTTAGTTAGATCCAATAACAAACCAAAAAAATAAGCTACATATAAAGAGAACGTGGGAGATAAAACTTTTGCCTTGAGAATTAAGCAATTCCCATGTTCTCCTGAGCTGTATGTATGCAGATGAGAAAACCTAGCTTTGCTTCCATCGAGAAACTCTTCAGGGTATACTTGGAAGAGGTCACTAACAGTGAATTACTTACTCACCTTCAAAACCTAATTGCCGAGCCCTCCGTTCCCACAAGGAAGTGATCTTCCTCTCTTTGATCAACAATGCTTGAGCTCTCTCTCTAGCTGATTCACAAATTTCCGTGGCGGCGTTACACTTCTCAGCTTCCTTTTGGTACTGTGAAGCAACCCTTTTAGCTTCGCCGAGCGTAACATTCATATGATGGCTATGCTCGTCTGCGACTGCTTCTTGTAGCTTCAGCTCTTCTGTGAGAAGATCCACAAACTGCTTCTCCATTTCCTGTTTGAGCTCTGGATCATCACTTCCACAATCTGTCACACAACATAAGTCAATATTTTAATGTTCTTGTTTCCATAGACCAAAAGAGGAACATCTTAAAAAAAGAATTGATTGGTTACTGATTCATCAAATTCACAGGTTTTCAAATGATTCATAAGGATCTTGATTGAGAAATCATCAGAGAGAGGCATTATCATTCATATCAAACCATTACAGATACTACTAACCTGTAACAGAGAGGTTTGCAAGCCCTGCAAAAAGCAGACAATAAGAGAATGAAACTTGTTAGAAATCGAGATTGATAAGGCGTAGACAACGAACGATCAAATGTAAAAGCAGTAGCTTGACTGAAAGATTCATCACAGAAACCACCAGATGCTTCCGAGCACGGCCCAAAGAATTTCAAACAAAAAAAAAAAAGATAGAAAGATCCAAACATCAATTTTGAGAAAAGGGTCTCTCGAAGTTCCAAAACCCACTCTAAAAATGAACTAAATTCTCCTAATTTTTGAATCAAACAGAGCACTCAGTTGCCAGATCCAATAAAAAC